AGCCTATGGCTTGCTTCTGACCTGGTCTCTCTCAGGGCCATCCCTCCAGTTTTCCCCTTGGTCTTGGTCTCCTTCCTCCACCCCCAACGTCCTTCTTCCTACTTCCAGATATTGATACTTTCTTGTGGGAACTGTAGCAATGGACTCCCCGCCCTCCCATCTCCAAAGCCCTGGGATCCTGCTGTTCTACCTCTCCACTGTCCTTGGGATTGGAAAATTCCTCTTAGACCAAGTGAATTTTTACAGTCAAACTCAAAGGAAAAATGTGAAAGCGCACAAGCAGGAACTGTACAAAATATGGGTTTCTAATACAAATCTAATTACCATGTTTGGCATACTCAGACATCAGATGGTGAGGGTTTGGACTGATCACAGTGAGAATGGAGAGAAAGGAGCCATAGGAACACGTTTTGAGTGTGGGAAATGCAAGAACATGAGAAAGGCAGCGACGATGCTGGTGCTTGGAGCTGAGGATACTGATGGTTTCATGAATGGGAATAAGAGGAAGGAGGCATTTTCAAGGAGACCAGGAGGGAGTGGGTTGCACTTGGAGTTCTGGGTGCATGGAGTCTGAGGTGACAGGGCATCATCCAATGGGAATGTCAAGGAGGCCTCTGGATTACAAGACTGGAGCTGGATGTGGGAATGTGGATGTGGGAATGTCCTGCAGACGTGAGCTGCATTAGCTCAACAGGAAAAATGTTCTTAAAGATCAAAGAACTGAGTCCTGAGAAAAGTCCATAATTAAGGATCCAGAGGAGGACGGTTCTCCAGAAGAGGGAGAGTGGACTGGAAAGTAGAAAGGGAGTTCATAAAAGCTACCTGAAGAACAAGATCAATCATAAGAGATTGTTCTGGGACTTCCCTGGTGGTCCAGTGGTTAAGACTCCGAACTTCCAATGCAGGGGGCCCAGGTTCGACCCCCGGTCAGGAAACTAGATCCCGCATGCTGCAGCTGAGAGACCATATGCCGCAACTAAGACCCAGCACAGACAAATAGATAAGATACATAAGTAAATAATTTTTTAAAAAAGAGAGATTGTTCTGATGCCAGATGCTACAGACACATAGAGAACTGAGGGCTGATTTTTTTTTTTTAAAGCAGCAGCTTGATCAATAAGAAGTTCACTTTTAAGTAGTTTCAGCAAAGAGTAGTAAGTATGAAATAATGAAGAACTGGTTTTTGAGGGATGCTAAATGAGGTATGACCATATCAAAGGAGCAGGATCAAGCAGCCGGCTGGTATTCGGGGAAGGCTAGTGAGGTACTCGCACGACCCTGAGAATGGGCACCTCCTTAAATTTTGCAGCCTAGGTGCCTGACTCACCTCATCCTAGTCCCAGCCCTATCAAGCAGTTAGTTAATCAGTTAGTTAGTTTGTGGACAGCGGACTCCTGGCTACATCTTAAAACAGAAGGAAAAGTAAATGAAGTGGAAAAGAGTAAAGATGCTGGAAAGAAAGGTGACAAGCCTCAGAGTAAGATCTTCCAGGATAGACAAGATGACTTCAGGACGAAGAGTCAGGAGGAAGAAACGTGCCCACCCTGACAACTGGATAACTGTGGAAACAAACACAGGGTGGGAGGTTGGAGACAGAAAAGAGAAATGGAACTTCATGGAGATAAAAATGTTGAGAGGTAACTGAGAGACATTCCGTTCGACACATAAACACCTTTTGTACTACATTCACGCCTATCTGTACCTATAATAAGTAATATAAACTTTGAAGATGTTGGAGCCACGTGGTGAACGGAGGAATAAATGAGTGGATGCATGACACAGAATGGTGAAAGAACAAATACAGATTTTTAGTTTAAGTATTTTGTGCTTTGGGCACAAGAGGGTCTGAAAACAGTTAGGAAAGTGAGGGCCCCTGTAAAAATTGGGGGCTAGCAAATCGCCATCACCTACCTCCCAACAGAGAAGAGACACATGAAAAAGATGGCACTGGCAAAGGCATCAGGATCAAAATCACCTCCCAGGATGTCAATCACAAGACCAGAATAGTAAGCGATTAATGTGTCACCTGCGTGAGGACAACAGTGAATGTGCTGGTGCCCAGGGCCTTTTCCCACCTCCAAGTCACAGCGCCCTCTCCCGACTCACCCAACACGGCAACAGTGAGGAAGAAAAAGGCCACACCCAGGAAAGGCAGGTCTGGTCTGGAGAGCTTCAGCAACCTCCACATCAAGGCTCTGTTGTTCTCCTGGCCCTGCTCCCTCTCCGGGGCTCCTGGAGGGCTCAGCACAGCCCACATGCCCCAGCTCAGCCCTGCCGCCCCATAACCCAGCAGCAGCCAGCTCCAAGGGGCTGAAGCCGCCCTGGCTGGGGGAGCACTCAAGGTCCCCGGGACCAGGGCCCTCAGGGAGAGAAACAGAGGGGTCACCAGGCAGAGGGGGGGCAGCAGTGCTCCCACAAACCTCTGCAGCCCTGCCGGCCTCAAAAGCCACCAAAGCCCTCCCAGTCGCAAGGTGCCCTCTAGCCACAGGCCTGGAAGCCCGCGGGGAAGCAGAGCCCCCAGGGTCCCCTGCAGCAGCCAGAGTAACGCCCAGTCGGCCAGCAGCAGGAAGGCCCAGGGTCTCAGGTCAGGGAGGCGCATGGCGAGATCTAGGGGTAGAAGGCGAGAAACGACAGAGGTGAGGCCCAATCCTTGTCCCCACTCCTCCCCACTCGCACTCCGCCGAACGCGTCCACGGGCTTCCCATTTTATTTACCCAGTGCTACCCTGAAAGACGCCTGAAAAGTGCTTGGTCCTCATCAGTATCTCCCTCCTAGGATCCCAGGCATTCGGCCTGACAGAGGGAGCTGGGAAGCCTGCCCATCTGCAGCCTCATCCTCTAAAAAACAGACCCGTGACCCCCTCCCCCCACCCCGACCCCGCCAGCCGCCGCCGCCGAGTTCCAAAGGGCCAGGCGGTCCCGCCCCGCTCCCTTGCTCCCGCGGTCCAGAAGGGCTGGAAGCCTGGGGCGCGGAGTCGCTGGTGGATGGGCTGCGTCCCTGTTAGAGCTCCAGGTTCCCACGCGCGCCAACTCACCGGAGGGGGCTTCTGGGCTGCAGCTCGGAGGTCTTTCCTTTACGTGCCGGGGTCCGAGCTCTGAAGTGCCCTCGCGCCGCCTCCGCTTCGTTTCCCCTCTGTCGGCGGGCGAGGATCCCCGAGCCAGGGCAGCCGGGCTCCCTCGGCTTTCGCTTTCGCTTCCGCAGCCGGTGCTGGGCCCGGTGCCCGGTGCTGGGCCCGGCGGCCAGCAGGCGGCGCGCGACACCTGCAGCCCGCGGAACAGACCCCTGAGTCCTGCTCCACGTGCCAGTCCCCGGTTAGTCTCCACCCTCAGCAACAGTTACTCTGTCACAGGAAACTGCTGCAGTTTTTTAAATTGCCACTAAGTAAAATAGAGCTGTTTCGAGGATTGTGATGCTTTGTAATTGGAGAACCGCTGGATTTTCATACCTCAGCTCTGAACCTATTTTGAGAACTGCCCTCTTTCCCAGTCCAAGTTCCAGATGTAGGATCTTGCGGTTTAAAACAACAACAAACAAACAAACAAAACACACACACACACACACACACACACACACACACACACACACACAAAACAGAGCCAGAGTCCAAGCGAGAAACACACAGGACTTCTATACAGAAGACCCAGCTACTCTCACCAGGACCTAAGTGAGTTTCCACTTACAGATTCTGCGCTGAGAAGCACCCCCCCACCACTGCACATCTTCTCTGTCTTTGTCAACACAGCTCCTGAGCAGAGAAAGTGTTCAGACGCCTCTAGATTTATGCTTCAGATTATGGTGGAACCACCTTCCTCATATGAGGGAACTAGACTTTGTTTCTTAGTTTAACACTGATTAGCACAGTAATCAGGTTTCTATAGGTCCTGCCAGACCCAGAGCCCATTGATGGGACAGGCAGATTGGTTTATTCCAGAAATAACCCTTCTGGTTGAAACCACCTCCCAGACTCAACATATTCCCCAAGGGAGGGCCACGTGGATTCCAATGCACCCTTTTGAAACGTTATTGGCACGACTTCCATGAGTCACTTCAAATTTAGATCTGAAGTGAGGGGATTACTAAAACTTCTCCAAACCCGTCCATTCTGGGATTTTAAGGATCTCTCTCTGATGAAAAAGCTCCATGTTCAGCTGCTTCCTACTTACAAGCTCTTCCTTTGACGAACTCTCCTTGGAGAGGTGACAGTATCCTGCTCCTTCCTGAAGTCCCAACGTGATTCAGAAAATCTCATTCTGGGGCTTCCCTGGTGGCGCAGTGGTTGAGAGTCCGCCTGCCGATGCAGGGGACGCGGGTTCGTGCCCTGGTCTGGGAGGATCCCACATGCCGCGGAGCGGCTGGGCCCGTGAGCCATGGCCGCTGGGCCTGCGCATCCGGAGCCTGCGCATCCGGAGCCTGTGCGTCCGGAGCCTGTGCTCCGCGGCAGGAGAGGCCACAGCGGTGAGAGGCCCGTGTATCGCAAAAAAAAAAAAAAAAAAAAAAAAAAAAGAAAAAAGAAAACCATTCTGTCTCATCTTTCTAACCTGGTTACCTTTTCCTCATATTTCCAACTTCAGCGAGTCCTCCTTATCTCCTCTTCCACTTCAATCACAGTCTTGTCATCTTGCAATGGAGTGTGACCCATCATGAAATGGAACCCCTAACGTCCATCTTTCCATGTAATATCCAATCTCTCCACGGGGTTATTTGAGATAAATGGGACCGTGTTTACAATTACCGCACACATTTGAGGAGGAAGCTTGTTCATCCTACTTTACAAAGTCAAAAACAGTTGTTCTAAGCGCACTACACCCAGATACCCAAACCATTAACAACTGGCCACACAGGAGCCTCCAGGTTGTGTGCCTAACCTGAATTAAATTGCAGCTAAGTGTCCACAGACAATGTTGAACCTTCCCAAGGTCCTGGAGAGATGAAAGTGGAAGGAAAGCCCAGAGAAATATTTGATGAGACCCCATTTCTTAGGTAGGGGTTTGAGTCTCTTTTCTCAGGAAAATTCAGTCTTTATTTTCTGATCCCTCCTCCCAACAAGCCCAGCCCAGAGCCCTCACAAGGCCACAACAAAGAGGCTTTTATAACCGTTTTCCTTTATTGTGCTTAGTGGGGCACCCAGAAGGTTGGGCTGGGGGTGATACTCATGGAGACAGAGAACACACAAAAGGATAAACTACACACTGCCTCCCAGTGGCCCCTGGTTCTCTATCTCTGGGTCAGGTCAGGCCCCTCTTTCTCCTGGGGTGTAACCTGGCCCAGGTCCCCAGGTCCACCACTGCCACCATTACTGACTGGCCTCACGGTACTGGTGCATCAGGTCACTGACATCTGTACTTTCCACTTTCAACCAACCGTCCTCCTTCACGTGGTACACTGCAGGCAAAGGAGAAAGAACAGAGTCAGGCTTCCCTGGTGGCGCAGTGGTTGAGAGTCCGCCTGCCGATGCAGGGGACACAGGTTCGTGCCCCAGTCTGGGAAGATCCCACATGCCGCGGAGGAGCTGGGCCTGTGAGCCATGGCCGCTGAGCCTGCGCATCCGGAGCCTGTGCTCTGCAGCGGGAGAGGCCACTGTTGAACAGAGTCACCTTCCCTTCAGCAAGATCCTGCTAATGATGTTATGTTGAAGGCGACAACAGCAACACACACTCTCAAAGCCCTTATTACAGGGATTGCAATGCCGCCTTCAGGCTCTGAAAACCCTCTCCCTGCCACTCAGCCTCCCCCATGTCTCCCAATCTCAACCCCCCCTTCTTCCTCCCTCCCCAGGGGCGTGGCAGGGTAGGAGGGCATTGGTCTCTTACTATTGACAACGCCTCCAGAATAGCTGTCTCGGTGGGTGGCATGAACAATTGCCCTTCGGCCCAGATCACAGGCCTCTTCAATGCTAAGGTCAGGTCTGTAGCCAGTGTCCATGACCCCATAGGCATGGGAGCACCCACTACCAGTGGAGAACATATTTCCCGAGAGCCGAGTCCCATTTTCATCCACATAGTAGAGTCCAGGCCCCTATAGGATGCAAGAAGGGTCTAGGTTGGAAGTGGAAAGGAAGTTGTTGGTAACATCCAGATTCAAGTGTGAGCCATAAGTGGACCAAAGACTTAGGCTGACCCCAGGAACATCTGAACTAGGAGAACACTTTGGGAACAATCATAGAATTTAAGGGAGGAGAAACAAACTTGGAATCAGCTATTTGATCCAAAGGGACAAGCTTATGAAACAATGGTCCACATCCAGACCCAGAAATTGACAGTGGGTAACAGTTCTATAATCGAGTGTTCTCTGTGCCACGTATCCTGTAGGGGAGGGAGTGGGAGTGTACGGTGGGGAAACTGACCTCTCATCCACACGTGGGAATATGAAGAAGGGAGGGGACTCACTTTCTTGTCCCAGCCACAGATCATGCTGCCCATGGAGAGGCCCATGCCCCGGTACTGGCACATCATGTTGGAGAGCAGTTTGGACGCTGCAGACACAGTGATACGCTCACCATTCCGCAAATAGTACAGCCTGGGTGAGAACAGGAAGGTTCCAGGAGAGGACTTAGAGGTGACAGGAGAAGGCTAGCCCTCCTAGCAGCCCACTTGATGGGCAGAAAATGATTGAAGAGATAAGCATTTGAAAGGAGTGGTTTTGTAGGATCTAAGGATGGGGAAAGATTTGGAATTTATATAGAATTAACTTTTCTTTATTTTTTGGCTATGCGGCATGTGAGAGCATAGTTCCCTACCAGGGATGGAACCTGTGCCCTCTGCATTGGAAGGCGGAGTCTTAACCACTGGACCACCAGGGAAGTCATCAAAACCACATAAAGAGGGCTTCCCTGGTGGTGCAGTGGTTGAGAGTTTGCCTGCCGATGCAGGGGACGTGGGTTCGTACTCTGGTCCAGGAAGATCCCACATGCCACGGAGCAGATAGGCCCCTGAGCCTGCGCGCCCGGACCCCCGCAACGGGAGAGGCCACAACAGTGAGAGGCCCGCATACCGGAAAAAAGAAAACAAAACACAACAAAAAAAACACATAAAGAAATCTCAGTAGGGACTTCCCTGGTAGCGCAGTGGTTAAGAATCTGCCTGCCAATGCAGGGCACACGGGTTCAAGCCCTGGTCCAGTAAGATCCCACATGCAGCAGAGCAACTAAGCCCGTGCGCCACAACTACTGAGCCTGCGCTCTAGAGCCCGCGAGCCACAACTACTGAGCCTGTGTGCCACAACTACAGAAGCCCGCTCACCTAGAGCCCGTGCTCTGCAACAAGAGAAGCCACCGCAATGAGAGAAGCCCACGCACTGCAACGAAGACCCAATGCAGCCCAAAATAAATAAATAAATAAATAAATTTTAAAAAAGAAATCCCAGTAAATGATAGGATCCCACCAGGGTCGATGCTGTTGGTGCTAAATATTGAAAATTGACAAATGATCTGGCTTCTTGGCAGGAGCACAGGCTGAGATTTGGGGGAAGGTTTTTAATCACCAAAAGGCTGTTTTGTGAAATATGACATTAGCACTAAGATGCTGGAGGCAGTTAGGAGCAGTGATCTGGAAGATGCAGAATCCAGGCTTAGAAGGGAGGTAAGGGGCCAGGCCTACCTGCACTCCTTTGCCAGCAGACGCTCCCAGTACTGACAGTCAGCTGCACAGCCAGACATGGTGCCAAGCAGGTAAGGGTTCATCTCAATCACCTTGTTCACCGTTAATGTGCCTGGAAGAAGATGGAGTTTGGGGAGAGGAGGAATGACCCCACAGCTCTCCCTGTGTGTCCTAAAACAATATCTGGTCCCACTTTGGTGTAGATGCTGGGCTCCTGCTGAGAGGAGGTCCCAGCTCCCCAGATTCTTCCAGCTGGAGAACACACACTCACCAATGTAATTCCCGACCGAGGCCCGAGAATCCACGGCCACAATCACCCCATGCTGGAACTTGAAGGCCAGCGTGGTTGTGCCATGAGCCATCTCGATCTGAATGTTCCTTTTTCCATTCCCATCCAGGGACCGGAAGAATTCAGTGGGCTAAGGAGACAGAAAAGGCAGAGAAAGGGCCACTGAAAACTTCTGAAGCTGGACACTCCAGGAAAGGAATTTAGAGGAAGGAGATACCCAGAAATTCTCCAACCACCAATAAATGAAACAGTTAATAACCTAGCTCTACAAGGAAATGGTTTGGGAGAAGGGAAAGAAGAGGCCATGACACCAACCTTTTCCATATGCCAGCACAATAGACATGAAAAAATAAAATAAAATAAGTGCTACTCTAGATTAACTTAGAACAATGGCTTTCAACTCTCATTTTGTATTAGAATTATCTGGGCAATTTTAAAACATCCTGAGATTCTGATTCAGTTGGTCTTGGGTGGGACCTGGGCACTGGTATTTTTTTTAATTGCCCTATAATTGATGTTAATGTGTAGCCGAGATATAGATGCATTTATTTAGGGCAGACTGTGTCTTGTAAGACAGCAGCATTCAGTGGAAATACTTCAAGTTTGTTTCAAGTTTAATTTTTAATATACTTGAACTATTAATTAATTAAAATAAAATATACAATCAGATGTATTAACTACAAACATTAAATCTCAGGATGAGCCAAGCTCATTTTAGCCTCAGGGTCTTTGCAGTTGGCCTGCAATACTTTGAAGCTTTGCCTGGATGGTTTCTTCTCTTTATTAAGGTTTCCACTCTGTTGTTCCTTTAGAGAGACCGTCTATGAGTGTCTCCCAAAATACCTCCCCCGATTTTTTATCTCATTGTTTTTAAAGGTTTTCATTAAAACAGTTTAATTTCCTGAAATTATCTTATTTTCATTTGTTTTTTGTTGGCTTCCTTGCAAAATGTAAACAGAGATCTTGTCTGTCTTGTTTTAACATGTGTCTATCCCTAGCACAAGGAGTGGAGTTTGGCATATAGTAAGTACTCAATAAATGTCTGTTGAATGAGTGAATGAACGGCGAAAATTTAGCATAGATTTTTGGTTAGTCCATCTGTTTATAAGCTAAACTGACTCTCCCAACTTTGAACACAAATTCTGTGTACCTTACTTCCTAGATAACTGGAAAAAGAACACACCTGGTACACAGGTAGAGGTATTCTGAATTCAGTCTAAAATAAAGGTGGTTTGATAAAGCCTTCATTCATAGCTGGGATTGTGACTCTTACTTGATGATAAAACCATGTTTCTGGAAAATATTAATTGTGTTTTACAATAAATTAACATCTCTATACGTAAAAATAAAAAAAATTGCTACCATAACTAAACTTTTTTTTTTTTTTTTTTGCGGTACGCGGGCCTCTCACCACTGTGGCCTCTCCCGTTGCGGGGCACATGTTCCAGACGTGGAGGCCCATCGGCCATGGCTCACGGGCCGAGGCACTCCACGGCACGTGGGATCTTCCTGGACCGGGGCACGAACCCGTGTCCGCTGCATTGGTAGGCGGACTCTCAACCACTGCACCACCAGGGAAGCCCATAACTAAACATTTTAAGGGTGACTGTAATGGTTTTCCATTCATAGGTCATTTAACCCTCAGGAAAAACGTTTTATGAATATTATCCCCATTTTACAGAAGAGAGACCCAAGACCTAGACTAAGGGACTTGATCCAAGGCACACAACTGTGAGTGGCTGAGTCCAGGCTAAACGCTCAAGTTCATAGGTTTTGCAAGACACTACACAGCCCCTGTATCATAGGATAGGCCCATGAGAAAAGCTTCGTGATTTGTTTGTGATGGAGAACGGGCAGGAAAGCTCTCTGGTCTCCCGATGGGAGCCCCCTTCCCGCTCACCTCTCCTTCTTTGTCCTAATCTGCACCTCCTAACCCTCAGGCGGCCAACCCCCAAGTCCCACGTGGCCTCTTCCCTGGCTCCGGCCCTAGACCCTGGACGTGGCTCTGCTAAAGGATGCCCCGCTCCGCATTTCCCCGCCTCCGGACAGTCTCAAGGCAGACCCTCCATTACTCTGCTCCCTCCTGCCCGCCTCCCACGGGATTTTCTTACAGCCCTGACCTGCATTCCCAGGGGGAGGGCGAGTTTCGGAGATCGCAGAGAGAAACTGTAGTGACCGGGGTCCGAGCGCTGCCGGCTTCCCGCGTGAGGGAAAGCCCAGTCCTCCCGCTGCCCGCGCGGGGCTCCGCACACGTCCAGCAGCGCCATGACCGCCCAGCACCCGGAGATCTGGCGGCTCTCGGACGAGGAAGTGAAAGCGAAAGCCCAAAGCCTTAAGGGGAGGGAACCAGAATTTTTTCCACATCCCCCTGCCCTTCTCGAGAAGTGTCCAGTGGGCGTATGGAGACCAGGAGTATTATTCTGGGGACAGGCTTCTCTGATCCGCCTTCATGGAAATTAGGGAAACGGGGGTGATAGACTGCCAGAAGAAAGGAAGAGAGCGAGCAGCTCGAAAGCTCCCTGGGCGATGAGGTTACTGTAAGAGACACCGACAGCCTGGGGCATCCTCCGGGGACAGTTATGGGGTGGGCAGGGGTCATAGCATCAAAAGCGTAGCCTTAACCAGAAATCTAGAAGTCAGTGAGAACCTGGGAGCAGTTTCAAACCGGGAATGGGGGAGGGGTGTGCCTAGAAGCATCGCTTTATAAAAGTAGGGGAGGGATAGGAGTACGTGGGGCCACTGAGTCTTGAGGACAGACAGGTCTTGGGGAGACAGGCAATAGAATACACCTGCAGCGTTTGGGGGAAGGGAGCACCAAGGAGAGGGTGCAGCCTCTGAATCCTTCGACCTAGTCCCTCCTAGGGCCTCTCCCGGTTCAACGGTCTCCCTCACCTGTAGCCACCCACAAGAACTGCCCTTTCTGACCGCATCTACTCGCGTAATTCTTGCTTGACTGAGCACTATCGTGTTCAACGTCTCTAAAACCCGCCTCTCCTTGCAACCTGAGTTGGCCTAATCTGCCCGGCAACTGTTGACGTCACATGACCACGGCCCTCCCTGAATGGAAGAGATCTACTAGACCACCCCGCCCACTACGCTAAGTTACCGGGGCAGGTGCCACTGCAGAACCTGGTGAGCCCTGCTGTAACGGACCATGGTGGGCGAGCGAACGAGGTGGTGAACTTCCTCTAGACGTGCTCATCCTCCATCCTCCATGTCCGGGCTCGGAGGCACTGCAGCTGCTGGTCCCTGCTGGAGGACACTGTATCCCCGTTTGGCTCATCCTCGGGGGCGGGCACAGGGGGATGGAGAAGTGAAGGGGGCAACCACAGGAAATAGAAAACGTAAGGGAAAAGATGGCACACTTAGGGCTGGGAAACACTGAGGATGTTGAAGGAGGGAGGGACCCAGCTCCTGAAAATGGCACTGCAATGGTCGGTGGGCCATTTGGTCCACTGAAAACACGAGAAACCACAGTACAAGACACCAATTTTATTATAAATATCAAGAAACCACAGGGCCAGCATATGCCTCAGGTCAGGTTGAAAAGGAGCTGACCTTCCGTTTCTGTATATTCTAAATATTTCTCATGCTAGCCACACCAACCCTGGCTCCAAACCCAGTTACACTAAGGAGTTCTGAAGCCTGTTTTCTTCCAGGAAATCTGTATAACCAAGAGGAGCTTGGAGAGCAGCTAACACTCATGGCAAAATTTCAGGCATCACCTCAGGGGTTACGTTTTAGAATGTCACCCCTCCCAGTAGCAGCTGCCCACTCTGCAACTCTGGTAAGACCTTTGTTCTCAAACTCTCCACTATAGAGAGGAGGGGAAAAGGGAGGGAGATGGTGCGAGTGTACAGATCTGAGGAGTCTTTCATTCTGGAGCACGTGACCCACCAGGAGCCTGAACCATGGTGCAATAGCGTCCCTTATTCGCCATGAGCTGCTGGTGGGTTCCCGCCTCAATGATGGTGCCTCCTTCCAGAAAGAGGATGTGGTGAGCCTGCTTCACCAAGCTGAGGCGCTGGGTGATGAGAAGCACAGACCGAGAGCACCGCTCAGGGCTTTTATACAGGAGCTGCTCCACCTGAGAAAAAACATACACTCTGTCAGACCAGGGGACCACTCCCAGCTCAGGGAGACATCTGTGTTTCCAGAGCTGGGACAGACCTCGCCAGGATCATTGCCACCTCTGCCAATAACCCAAAGGAAACTGAAGATTCTCATTCTGGGTGCTTCTCTGTCAAACCTTTGATTTGTGAAGGGCTGTTTACATGAGGTGGCAATGGTAGAATAAAAGAGAGTCCTAAACTGGGAGATTGGGATTCACATACACACACTACTGTAGATAAAACAGATAACTAATAAGAACCTACTATATAGCACAGCGAACTCTACTCAGTACCCTGTAATGGTCTATATGGGAAAAAAAATCTAAAAAAAAAAAAAAGTGGATATATGTATATGTATAACTGATTCACTTTGTTGTACACCTGAAACGAACACAACATTGTAAATCAACTATACTCCAACAAAAAAAATTTTTTTTAAAGTAATGAAAGAAAGAGCCCTAGGGTGAAACCCATAAGAAAAGAGTGAAAGGTATTGAATAGTCTCTCCTCTCTAATTTTTATATTCTCTTTTAAGGAAATATAACTTACTAGTAAAGAGTATGAGCATTCAAGTCAGGCAGACTTGAATTGGGGTCCAGGCTCTGCTATTCAATAGCTGAATGACAGTGAGCATGTTATTCAACCTCTCTTAGCCTCCGTTTTATCATCTGTTGGATGAGGGTAACAACACCCAGCTCACAAGCATTCATGATGAATAAGTGAGCAAGAGACTACATCCAGCACGCCCAGCACATAGTAAAAGTTCAATTCATGTTAGTATTATGAGGGTGGTCTTTTGCTTATGTTTGGCTTCACAGATTCAGGGTCTATAGATCATCTCTTTTAACTGGTTTTAGGCATCTTGGGGAGAAGCTAATGTGAACTGAGAATTGCAAGGACCAGTTTAGAGAATTATGATGTTCATATAATAACAAAGGATGAGTGAAGGAAGGAGGACTGGATGGGAAATAGGCATTAAGAAGATGACTCTCGGGCTTCCCTGGTGGCGCAGTGGTTGAGAGTCCGCCTGCCGATGCAGGGGACACGGGTTTGTGCCCCGGTCCGGGAGGATCCCACATGCCACGGAGCGGCTGGGCCCGTGAGCCATGACCGCTGGGCCTGCGCGTCCGGAGCCTGTGCTCCGCCCCGGGAGAGGCCACAACAGTGAGAGGCCTGCGGACCGCAAAAAAAAAAAAAAAAAAAAAAAAAAAAAAAAAGATGACTCTTACACAGGACTGGCTGTTTGCATCCAGGGCACTGGTAGCATCATCCAGGATGAGTACACATGGTTTCCGGATCAAGGCTCGAGCCAAGGCCACTCTCTGTCGCTGACCCCCTGACAGCTGGCCCCCAGCCTCACCTACTTCTGCAGAGACAAGGGCCAAGGTGAGAGCTGAATAAGCACACGCACGCACACACACACGTACACGCACACCAAGGACTGATGGATGCAGCAAGATAGAGAAGGTTCTGGGAAGGTAAAGGAGTTCTGAGGACATGAGGATAAAAGAGCCATAGGAACAAGATCTTACAACTTCAAATTGATGTCAGTGGGGTGGGGGGAGCTAAGGAATCAAGGCAAGACTACTGGGGTTACAAAGGAGGTGAAGATGTCTGGGTGGTGATGTGAGTGGAGAGAGCACCTGTGTCGTAGCCTTGAGGGAGTACAGAGATGAAACCGTGGGCTCCGGACTCCACTGCAGCAGCTGTGATGTCCTCCATGGTTGGCTTCCGGACCAGGCCATAGGCAATATTTTCTTTAAAGCTTCTTCCAAATAGCTGTGGCTCTTGTCCCACAGCGGCCACCTGGGACAAAATACGATGCAGAGTCATAGAACAAGGAACACAGGAGTGTGGTTCTCTAGAGATTGAAGACTGAGAATCTCTATTGGAAGCATACCACAAAATTACACGGCCTCTCTCCTGACCACATGCTCACCTCCACCTAAGGTCTCCTAACACTCTGTTCAGAGTGCTCGGTAAGAATGCTCTTCTGACTTGAGGCTCCCTGCCCTCCCCCATGCCATCTTCTAGCTCACCTGTCTGTGCAGATAGCAGTGCTCATATTTGGGAAGGGGCTCCCCGTCCAGGAGCACCTGACCCTCGGTGGGCTGGTACAGATTCTGCAGCAGGGCAGCCACTGTGCTCTTCCCAGACCCATTGGGCCCCACCAGTGCCGTCACCTCACCAGGACAAAGGGTGAACGTCAGCCCCTGGAAGCCAGAGAATCACACACACTAAGAGGCAGCCAGAGGCCCCTAACCTTGAGACCTGTCAGTCATTGTCTTGTTACGTTGTCTTGTCAATGTCTTCCCCCAGAGAAGAGAGCAGGAAAATGGTGAGATACAGCAACTACTCCCCTTCCACGTGCACAGACACGTCCCCATGGAGTGGAGACGGAAGATGAAACAAAGACAAAGGCAAACACTAAGACCACTGTGCCACACACTCAATCTCAGAGAGCATGAGAAAAAAGAAAACAACCACATTCCAAACCACAGATGGAAAGAAAAAGGAAGACTGGAGACAAAGCTTTTGCTTCCATGACGCCTTAGGATAGGAGAGCCTTCTCCCTGAGAGCCTCCTCTTCCATTCTTCTTGGAAATCCAGCCTGGTCCTTGACGCGTGATCTTGTCTTTGCCTCTGAAGCGGGAGGGAGGCTCTGTCTAAACCTGGTGCTAAGCAGGTTGAAGGCAGGGAGAAAATTTAAGGTGGTCGAGTTGAGGGTGAGGTTGGTAGAATACAGGGATTGGTAGGTTGTACCTGCAGCACTGGGACATCTAAATGGTTTGGGTAGGCGAAGGAGACACCCTGGAACTGGACGAGGCCCTGCAACTTTAAGGAAGTGAACACACCACTGGCTGGGCAGCGAGGGATCCGGTCCAGGTATTCAAATATTTTCTCTGAAGAGCCCACAGCCTTCTGTAGCCTGGGATAGGTGGACAGCAGTACCTGGAGGGGAGGTATGAATAGTGAGGCGGGGCATGGAAGGGACCCAATCTGTTACCAGGGTTATGTGATGTGAGAAGGGCAAAGGAGGGAAGGAAAGTGATCCAGATGGTGACGGCACAGGGGAAGGAAAAGCACTGGGGAGTGAGAACGGAAGGACCTCACCTCAACAGCTGTGGTGAATTGGATCTGGTAAAGAACAAAGGTGACCAGGTGCCCACTGCTTACAGACCCACTTTTCACCAGCTGCCCACCAACATACAGGATTCCCACCTTCAGCAGCAATCCTGAGATCTGTGGAGACCACAGAGAAAAGGGACTGTGGGAGGAAAATCTAAAATTCTGGTGCAGAGAACCAGAATCATTAACAGTAAGGAGAGATAGTGTCCCATTTCCCCAAGTAACTCAGGGGGTTCAATAGGTATTAAAGAATGAAGCATAGCATGCCATGGAGTCTCACTCGGTTACCCATGATAGAAGTCAATTATCACCATCACCATCACCAGTTGTGCCTTGTTTGGGGAGCATCTTGCTCTTCACAAAAGGCTTTTATGAATGTAATGTCATCTAATATATCAAGAGCCCTATAAACTAGGTTATATTACTCCCATTTTTTAAAATGAAAAAAAAGTCTGAGAGAAAGTAAGTTACTAGCCCGTGGTCCCAGAGCTAGTATATGGCAGCATCAAGGCAGGAACTTCTGATCACTGATCTAGTTCTCTGTCAATTATATCACAAGATGCCCCGCATCCTTGGCTTCCGCTATTCCCATGGCTCTCAGGAATACATCTGCATAGTTCAGGCATGAAGCAGGCCCAGGTGCAGGAATGTATAGCTCCCTGAGCACCCCCCATGTGGCAAAGGAAGGCCCTGGGACTGGAAGACTTGGCACTTTCCTACAAAGGGGGTCGGGGAGATTTTGTGCACCCTACGGAAAGGAAGCCATCTAGCATGCCTAAAAAGAGGGAGGGGGTTAGGAACACTGAGTGGGGTCATGGAGCCTCTGGTTGCTGGGATACAGACACTGAACCCACCATTGCCCAGTGGAGGAAGAGTGTAGAGCAGGGTCATGGGACAGGGAATGGCACTGAAGCATCTCGGGGACCAGGGAATAGGCATTCATCCCCAGGTGCTCACACGGGTGATCCAGAGGTTGACCGCATAGGCCAGGGCCTCCTTCTGGTTGAGTGTCTTCATTTCATGCAGCTTTTGCCTGAACTTCTGGGCCTCACCCTCTTCGTTGGCAAAGCTCCGGACTGTAGGCATAGCTGACAGCACCTCAATGGCCACCTGGCTGGATTTTGCCAGAGATTCCTGCACCTGTGCTGCCAGCACCTGTGGAGACATGGACAACAGATGTCACACGTGGTTGGCAAACCATAAGGGACGCTAGGACCTGAGTTATCCAATTGTAGATTAAAGGTGAGAAAGGGCAGAGAGACAGAAGAGAAAGGGACACAGCTATATCTGCCACAGATACTAAAGAGATACAGAGAAGAGGAAAGTGACTCAGAAGGGTCATAGAGGATCATATTCTTGAGACTGGTGATCATATTCCTTTTTTGTTTTCATTTTATATTGGAGTACAGTTGATTTACAATATTATATTAGTTTCAGGTATACCGTGAAGTGATTTAGTTATACATACATACATATCTATTCTCTTCCAGAGTTCTTTCGTATATATGCTATTACAGAGTATTAGGTAGAGTTCCTTGTGCTATACAGTAGGTCCTTGTTACTTATCTATCTTATATATAGTAGTGTATATATGTTAATCCCAACCTCAGTGATCATATGCTTAAAGACAGATGGTAGGCAGACATTAGAAGACACAGAGAAGGTGAAGATCGACACTGAGCAATCCAGGAACATGGACAAGGAGTTTCAAAAAGATGAAGAATCAGCGAAGGTGCCAGGAAAGAAATCTTTGAGGAGAGCCCACCAAGTCTGGGCGATGAGGGTCAGTATAGGTTGAGGCAACTCCCTGGACATACCTCGTGACATTTTCCCAGCTTCTCAGGCAGAAGGAAAAGTAGTGGCAGGGCGAGCAGGGTGACCATGGTGAGGGACGGGGACCCCCAGAGCATGAGCCCCAAGAGACACAGTCCACGCCCGAGGTACCACAGCAAGAGGCTCAGCTCCGAACTCAGAGACTCACTCATGGTGGACGTGTCCTCTGTGACCCGAGATGTGATGGCACCTGCCAAGGGTTGAGGAGAAGAGAGTGAGTGAGTGAGAAACTAGAGTGATGGGAGGGACTGGCAATGAGCCAGGGTGCCAGGGGGAGGGGTTCTAAGAAGGTCTGGAAAACAAGGTCAGTGGTTTAGGGAGGCTTGGAATCTCAACTCAAGGAGAATGGGTTCCAGAGGAAAAGCCTGGTCAAAGACCTTCCTTTTCACTCTAAAGAAATTTATGCCCTTGTGAATTTCTAATTCTCTGACAGATTTCTGTTCTCTAAAGAACTTGTATATCCCCTGCACATAGGCAGGAAAAACTTAAACTGATCATATAACAGAGCTGGAGAAAAAGGAAGGTGCTGCTAGAAAGCAGTACAGGAAACTGTAGCAAGTCCTGGATTGGGAATCAAGAGATAGCTTCTATTCCCAAGTTCATCTCTATCCATACGTGTCTATGCAAGTGTTGGCATTTAGGGTCTGGGCCTCAGTTCCCATCTCTGTGAAACGAGGTGGTTGGACTCTGTGATCTCAAAATTTCCAGGTTTGAAATTCCTGTCATTTCTATCTAAATACACACAGAGGGATATATTTGTGGGAAAATCTTGGATGGAAACACTAGGTTTTTCTGCAGATAAGGAGTATATGTATTTTGCTCTTGAGGTACGTGAAGAATAAGACATGACGACGTTTACGTGTGAGAGGAGGATCAAGGTTATAAGTAAAAATATGTATGGGGATATAAACAGTAAGTAGATGGATAGTGAAAAGAATTTCATGAGAAACCTGTTTGGTTCTTTTGAAAAAACTCTGTTTCCTGGCGCAGGACAGCCCGAAACACCTCCCCCTGCAGGTGGCAGTGCACGCGGCCCATGGTGCTGTTGTAGATTCCATCAGCCGTGAACTCCAGCACTGCACTAGAAGGAGACAGAGAAGGAGGGCCGGGCACAGTCAGGGGGCCCCCCAGAAATGAACTCTGGACCCCAACTTTCAACTCCCTCTTTTTCAGGGTTCCCCCATCCCCAGCCTTCCAACTTCAGCCCCAGACCTGGCTATGGTGAGGACAGACATGAGAGTTATGTTTCGCGTGAAGGCAGCGCCTGTCCTGTCTTGTAGAATCCAGTCCGTGAAACGGCCCATGAAGAATGGAACAGCCATCTCCCCTGGGGAGGGAGAGAAATATCAAGTCTAAGCAGGTCAGCTCTAACCAGACGACCCCCGGCCCACCCTCCTTTCACCTTTGCCCATAATCCTGGAGGGCAGTGGCAGAAAGACACAATCTACACCTAAATGGGCCACCTGGAGGGAGGGTGGGAGGGAGGGAGACAAAGAGGGAAGAGATATGGGAACATATGTATATGTATAACTGGTTCACTCTGTTATAAAGCAGAAACTAACACACCATTGTAAAGCAATTATACCCCAATAAAGATGTTAAAAAATAAAAAAAATGGGCCACCTGGGAACTCAAAACCCTGTGGCCCCACCAGACCTTTAGAGGTTGAATGAGGAAGGCTAAGGATCATAGGATGGGCTGCCCCAGAGGAAAGGCCTTGTCCAAGGTGGCCAGTGAAGCAACGCCCGGGGCAGCCCTGGAGTCCAGGACTCCTGACTCCTACCCAGTACAGGGCTCTTCCCTCTCCACTGGGGTGGGGAGTGGGGGCTCTTCTCAAGACCTGAGCTGGGTCCCCTTCCCCTCATGCACATTTCCGAGAACTCATACCAATCTATCTCACTGACCATTACTCTCGATTCCTTCCCAGTCCTCTAGCCTCGTCCCTCTCCCCCTGCATCCCCCTTACCAAGACAGGAGAGTACCACCAGGGCCAGAATGTGCGGCAGGCGTTGTATCTCTGGGCCCAGGAAGCCTAGAAGCCTGCTCACCGCCACTCCAGAAGCGCCGTGAGCTCCTTGCACCCAAAGGCTCCTGATCTTATGCCACAGGGCGGCCGCGGGCAGTGCCGCCGTGTAGCTGAGCGCAAAGGCGTCCAGGCGACTCCCCCAGTGCAGTGGCCGGGTGCTGTGAGCGTCCCCGGGGGCTCCCCACGAGCCCAGCTCTCGGAACGAGGCAAGTCCCGGCAGGGCCAAGCCCAGCGCCGCCGCCAGCGGCTCCAAAGCAGCCAGCCATCCCCGGACTCCTGCGCTTTCTCTCCGGAAGCCCAGCGCTGCCCCGAGGACGCCTCGGGCTCCCAGCCACAGCACCGCCCAGCGGCTCAGGCCCGCTACCCAGACACGGAGCAGCGGCAGCTCAGGGGGTACCAGCAGGGAGGCTATTCTAGGCAGCTCCAGCCGGAGCAGCATCCAGTCGGCGAGGAGCAGCAGCGCTGTCCCCAGGAACGCGAGGCAGGCTTGGGAGAGGCGGAGACACCCGCAGGGAGCGGGGGACTCCGAGCAGGCCATGGGCGCGCGCGGTTCGAGGCCGGCCCGGGTCCTGGGACTCTCGCCGTCCTCGCCGGGACGGAGTCTCTGGACGCCGTTCGAGTCGTAGAAGGGGGGGGCGCCCGGACCGCGGCAGGGAGGGAGCAGGGCGAGCCGGGTCGGGGCTTCGGAAAGTCCCGGGAACCCGCCGAGCCCGCCGGCGCTGGCCTGAAGTGAGCAGTTTACAATAAAGGGAAAACGAAAGCGTCTCCGACTCCCCAGACCCGCCCACTCCGAAGGCGGCCCACCCGGACTATGTCGGGGGAGGGCGTCGACATCAGATCCGAGGTTTAGGGGAGTAGCCCTGGTGCTCCACCTTCTCCATTCTCAACACCCGACCCTCCTGTCCTCGCCTCCACTTGCGGGACCCGCTTGCCGCGACTTTCTCACTCCAGCCTCTAGGTGGGGTGCCTACGTCATCTGTCTCCGGGCAGTTCTGCCCCGCGCAAGTTAGCGCCCGGATGCGAAGCTTCACTGCATGGACCCGGGCGCCCCCTGGCGGGCGTGGAGAAGGGGCGGAGCTGTAGGCAGCGAGCGGCGGGCTGTCCCAGGTCGCAAACCAGTGCCCCAGGCGGCGAGGAGCGCGGCGCAGGGATGCTGCGAGCGGGAGCACCCACCGGAGACTTACCCCGGGCCAGAGAAGTCCACACCGGGGTAATGAGTCCGGGCTTGAGGGTTAGCAGAGGGGTGGAGGAAGTGGAGCGATAGGGGGACCCTGGAAGCGCCAAAGAGTGAATTTGGAGACTAACAAGAGTGGGGAGATAGCTTGTAGCAGCCAGTGCTCACATCCCGATATGAACACTGGCGTCTGTATTCTGAAGGGGTCGTCTAGGGGTCCGCGAAGGGACTGGGCACGGGAGGGAGGTGGAGAAGGTGTACTTTGGCTCTGAGCTGGAAGCGTTAAGGAGAAGCTGCCCTAAAGCGCTTTCGCTTTCACTCTGGGCTAGAGAGAGCGGCTGGTTAAATCAAGGGAGGGGGTTGGAGAAGGTGCAAAGAGAAAAGGAAACGGTGCCCTGGGTTAAGTAGGACAGCACTTGAGAGAGGGGCGTATGGGCACTGATTGAGAAGGGATGCATCACACAGACCTTTGATAAACTAGCCCGTGGGTAACATAGCCCCAGCACTGATAATGGGGGTTCCATGTGAGCTGGAGGTGCCCTTCCCCAGCCTGGCCCAGGAAGGCTCCTACTTGGCCCAGGTGCCACCGTGCTCCCTTCCCCATGTCTTCCCCACCCACCTCCACAACCTGCTGGACGACTTTTGCCCAGGCTGGACCCCTGGGGCAGATGGCAGCCCAAGGCAGGCCGGCTTCTGCTCTCAAACTACTGCCACCAAGCTTAGCTTTGGGGCAGCTTTGTTATATAGGAATAACCTCTTGGATGGGGTTGCCCCTGTTCTCTGCTGTGCTATTCATGATGAATCAGTATGTCAAAATGAACACTCGGCCAACATCCCTGGAGACCAGAGTAATTTATGGAGTGGTGAGAAGTATAGCCGTAAAACCATTTGTAAATTAGAAAACCTCTCCTCACTGCCAGATGAGCAGTGAAAAGTAAGAAGTAGAAGTCAAAACAAAGCATGGGAGCTAAACATGGGTTTTAGTCCTGTGTGACCTTCGACAAGTCATTTGCGTTCTCTATGACTCAGTTTCTTCATTTGTAGGATCTTTAAGGCTTTTTCCAGTTCAACAGGAGTAAAAAAATGTAGCTTTATCCTCCTTCACTCTTCCTTCTTTTGTTTAATTTCTTTTCTTGACCTGAAAAAGTCAGCTCAGACTCCCCAATCAAATCCTCTTTTGGTGCAGATCTCTTTCC